TCTCTCTCTCTCTCTCTCTCTCTCTCTCTCTCGTTATAAATATTTTGTTTAAAATCGGGAAAAACATTGAAAAATATTTTAAAGAGCTGTATTGATTACGAATAAATAAATATTAACATATGGTATAAATTAAATGCTTTTGTGGTCACGCAATGAGTCGGGCACTGAGATTCTGCTGGATTCTGAGCACTCGTACGCTCAGCACTGGATTCATACACCTCTACAGGTATTGCAAAACCCAAAGCTAGCCCTACCTTCAAATTGTCGGCGACCACGTTCAAGGTCTGCACGGATAGCCAATCACATAAATGCAAGGTTTACAAAGTACTATTTCGACCTAGAATATGACCATTCTAACTAATTATCATGTACACGAATATATAAATATTTGATTAATGTTTGATGTCTTATGTCTAAGTTTCTGTTGTGTTAGTTGTAATGCTTGGCAACAGATAAAGATTATTAGGTATAAAATATTACGTTATATAACAATAAATACTGAAATTGAACGAAAAATAGGTCCGAGAAATCTAAAATCATTGATTCAATAACTCATAAAAAGTTTACTTCATTCAAAAAAGTTTTTATTGGGTTTTATGAGAATAATTCACTATTAATTAATTGTGAATTGATTTTGTGGTAAAAATGGCGAAAACGTATTCTTCGGACTCTTTGGATCGATTCGGTGATGATTTGTGCGAAGAGTTGTTGTCTTATCTCTCACTCGAAGACAAATTCATATTTGAATGCATTTCAAAACAGTGGCGAAGAGTTGTCTATAAGAGACAAACGGTGTTAACAATTGATAACAATTCTGTCCGAAATATAATCTCAAAGCAGAATATATTTGAAATATTTCTCAAGAAATGTTCAAATATTGTATCCATTGATACGAAATGCCGTTTTCTGTTCTCAGACTTAGCCATTGATTTGATTATCAAATATTGCGATCATTTGACAGACATTCACTTCGACTGCTCTGAAATTAGTATCGAAACAATTGACAGATTTTTCACTAAATTTGGTCCACAATTGAAAACAATTAAAATTAATTCATTCAATAAAAATGTGGACAAAAAGTCGATCGAGAAATGGATGCAAATGTGTCTAAATTTGCATACATTAGAAGTCGATTCCCAGACAATAAGTTCGCTATCATTACAATCGGTGACCGAAAGTCGAGTGCCGTTCAAACAACTCAATAGTATTGACCTAAATATAGAGTTTTGCGCCGAAGATTTGCAAGCATTGGATGCGTTTGCAGACAAATACGGCCATCAAATGAAGACAATGACATTTACAGTTGTTTTTTTGGGCTCTTATCAGTTTGCGTCCCAAGCGGTCCCTAAAGTGATGACTTGTTTGTCAAGAATGCCAGCATTGGTTAGACTTGTATTCCCAATGAAAATGGTTTCACCGAAAGAGTTGATCCCATTATTAACTCAAACAGAAATCAATTGTCGGCGTCTGAAGAGTCTTGACACCGAAGTTGCCGTATTGTCGTCGGAATTGATTCATACGATTGGCCAACAATTTAAACGATTGCGAAGACTGAAGATCGGGGGAAATATCGCTCCGGGACTGACACTCACCGGCTCTCTGTCCGCGCCATTCAAACGGTTAACACATTTGACTCTCTGGTCCACTCGTTTTTTCGCGACAAATAGTATTACAGACGTATTCTTCGCTAATATTGGCCACACTTTACCAAAACTCCAGTATTTGAGCGTAAGTTATGTGAATATTACGGACGAGTCGTTGATATCATTGTCTGGATTGAGACAAATCCGTGGCATAACTCTCTTTGGTATTACAGATTGGGACAAAGATTTGAGTGAAATGTGTGTCAATAATTTGATCGCTAATTGTCCCAAAATATGTTACTTTAATAGGTATAGTCATAATACTATAGGACCCCCAAATTGCTTTGTTCAATAAAATCAATTGCATTTAATTTCTATTTTTAGTGTCTTACAAGTTAGGCCCGTTTTGCTACGGGACCCCAGCCTAAATGCTAAGTTATAATTATTTGATTATATAGTATTTATTAATAACATATCTATTAGATGATAACGTCTTTAGTGTAATGATTATACTGATTATAATGATTACGAATAAATAAACATTAATATTAAATAATGGTATAAATTAAATGCTTTTGTGGTCACGCAATGGTCGGGCCCTGAGATTCTGGATTGTGAGCACTCGTACGCTCAGCACTGGATTCATACACTTCTACAGGTATTGCAAAGCCCTGGCGTCGGCCCAAAGCTAGCACTACCAACTGTGGGCGACACAGTTCAAGGTCTGCACGGGTAGCCAATCACATAAATTCTAGGTTTACAAAGTCTATTATTGTAAATGATAATTAATTAGTATGACCATGTTTTAGTGCGGGGTTATTGTTGTAATGCTTGGCAGCAGATAATATCCATATTATGGATTATTTCATATAATAACATAACAGTAAATACAGGAAGTGAATAAAGAATAGGTACGATGAAATTTAAATTGGATCTAGTTCCAAATCCAAAGTCATTGATTCAATAACTCACAATAATTCACTTGATTTACAAAAGTTTTATTTTGTGTTTTATTACAACAATTCACTATTAATTAAGTTATGAATTGATTTTGCAGTAAAAATGGCAAAAACGTATTCTCCGGACTCTTTGGATCGATTCGGTGATGATTTGTGCGAAGAGTTGTTGTCTTATCTCTCACTCGAAGACAAATTCAGATTTGAATGCATTTCAAAACANAAGAGTTGTTGTCTTATCTCTCACTCGAAGACAAATTCAGATTTGAATGCATTTCAAAACAGTGGCGAAGAGTTGTCTATAAGAGACAAACGGTGTTAGAATAATTTCAAAGAACAGTATATTTGAAATATTTCTTAAGAAATGTTCAAATATTTTATCCATTATTCTCTGGCATTAGTGTCGAAATAATTGATAAGTTTTTCACTAAATTTGGTCCACAATTGAAAACAATTAAAATTGATTTCAATAAAAATGTGGATAAGAAGTCAATCGAGAAATGGATGTAAATGTGTGTAAATATGCAATCATTAGAAGTATATTCCCATAGAATAGGATCGATAACATTGCGATCGGTTATCGAAATGCTTGTGCCGTTTAAACAACTCAATAGTATTAAGATTGATATCAATACTGAAGAAGACATGACAGCATAGGATGCGTTTGCGGACAAATTCGGACATCAAATGAAGACAATTATGGTGACAATGCACTGGTGGGGCGCCGACACGTATGAACGCCAAGTGGTCACTAAAGTGATGGATTGGTTGTCGCGATTCCCAGCAGTGGTTAGACTTGGATTCCCAATAGAAAAGCTTTCACCGCAAGAGTTGATCCCATTATTGACTCAAATTGGTAACAATTGTCGGCGTCTGAAGAGTCTTGACATTAATGTCGACAAATTGACGCCACAATTGATTCATACAATTAGTGAACAATTTGAACGATTGCGAAGACTGAAGATGACTGGACTCGTCGATCCGGGACTGACACTCACCGGCTCTCTGTCAGCGCCATTCAAATGGTTAACTCATTTGACGCTAAAATCCAGTCGTTTTTATTTGAAGACTAATTTTAAGAACAATTTCTTCGCTAATATTGACCACAATTTACCAAATGTTCAGTATTTGGACGTAAAGTACGTGAAGATTACCGACGAGTCGTTGATATCATTGTCTGGATTGAGACAAATCCGTGGCATTACTCTCACCAAAAGAAGCAAAGATTGTGACAAAGATATGAGTGAAAAGTGTGTCAATAATCTCATCACTAATTGTCCAAAAATGTGTTACTTTCACAAGAATACTAAAAATGAGAAGGAGGACCTTGATCCATTAGTTGCTGAGGCCGTAAATCACCTTCTCGAGAGTAGATCTTTTAACTCCATGTTATACCTAAACTCCCTAATTATCCCTTTTAATAATATGTAATATTGTCAAGTTTAAAATGTAAACACTTTTGATGATGGTATATCTATTGGTAAAGAATGTTGAATATAAGTTATAATGAATTGTTTTAAACTTTGTTTCCTTAAATTTTTTACTTTAATGTCTTTTATTAAATTTAACTGTTTTTGTCAATACATTTAAAATACACATTTAACCACTTTTTACATAATTCCAATTCAATTGATTTCTTTAAAAATATTTGTTTACATTTTACCAAAAATATGATTTAAGCGTTTTTTAATTTTTGCACTTATAAAATTTAATATAACGTAGGGTGGTTTTTCGCTGTGACTCCGGTTTTTCTAGCCTAAAAGTTGTAATTATATAGTATTTATATCCATTAAAATACAAAATGTAACAACACCAAAATTAATGTATAAATATTAGCAACACTAATAATGATTTGTGAACACCAACACCAATATAACTATAATTGCGTGAATTAGCGTTAATATATTTATATTTAAATAAAACACTTATTTCATATCTTGTTTTATCTGTTATTGCATTTCATTTGTAATGCAAAACAGGAATCGTTTGAAAGTATAAATTAAATGCAATTTTCGCGGATCTACTCTTCATTTCCATCTGCAAAGATATCACTCCAATAGATGTCTACCACATCTTAAGCGATGAGAGGTTGTAATGTGATGTACTTTGTGGGCACTCTGTCCGGCATCGCACCCGTCGGCGTCCTGTCAATCGTCTTCAACACAGGGCCCACACATGTTGTATACAATTAGTATTAGTGCCCAAAACAGGTTTAATTTATAAAGTACTTTATAAACTACTTTACTTAATAAACAGAATATTCTTGAAATACATTCAATATAATTGCTTGAATGCATAGAATCGGACACTTTATGCTAAAGCAAGTTATATAAATCAATTACTCGCATTTTTCGATTCATTTCAATCCAAAAGCGGAAAACTTTATTTGAAATTATTTTGTGAAATAAAGCGCTGAATTGAACAGTCATTTGATATACATTTTCTACTAAATTACATATAAATAACAAAAAAAATTAATTAAAATAGTGAATTATATTCACAAAAACTAATAGTATTTCTGTATAAATATAATAAATATCATACAAAGCGTGTATAACTTAGAGGTAACAAATATAACAACAAAAATGCATTACATTTTCACTAAAAAAACTTAAATTGCGTATAATATTGATTACAAATAGTGTTATAAAACACTCACAAAACGGATTCTCCAAAAGTATTGAAGCGATTCCGTACTCTTTAAGCAATGGTTTTGCCATTAATGTAATGATTATATTATAATGTATTTTAATAATTTGTTGAATCAAATATGTATATAGTTTGCAGTTAAAAACTCAATAAACAACTTAATTTGAATTTAGCTAACTTTATATACAAATGTTTAATATAACTATATTTGGATTTATCATTAAAAATGCCAAAATAATAAAAATTTGATAAGCAATAATAAAATAAATAACACAATAATTCATGCTAGGAATGTATTTATTTCAGTCTTAAATCTTAGATAAATATACAATATATTGTTAAATATAAAAGAATAGATATTAAAACAATAATTGTATGTACATTTAGTGAACACAATTATTTTGGTAGTACGTTATCCTCATATTTATCTGGATAATTACCTGGAGCCAGGAAATTGCAGACAACGTTTATCGGATACCGTCCACCAGTGCATCTAGCGCATCCGATTCGAGTGGTGCTTTTCCACACCAATGCTGTGAAATGTCCCACATCTCTGAAGTTATTCGGACTAGGACGTGTGTAGGTGTAATTCACATTTTCAGCATACCTTTATCAATATAAAAGTAACAATTAGAATTAGTGCGTATAAAGATTTACCACGCTGGTGCTGTTAAAATATAGAACTAGCATAACCAAAAACGTACCAATTGTTCATAACAGCTGAACACGAATTAAAATCAACTTTAGGAATTAGGCCGGGTCTGACGCCATAGCCCCGGGCTATATTCTCACCATATTCATCATTGTTTTCAAGGTGACCGGCATCGGCATTTGGACATCTCCACATTGCATATCTCACCAGCTAGATTGATTTTAATTAAAATTATTGCATTTGTAATTGATTTAGGTAGTTATGAAAACATACATGAGAATCCATGGTATATGGAGGTGCATGGTGATCGGCCCGTAACTGATTGACTCGTTCCAAACAGTCATCCAACCATTCTTGAGTTGTAGTAATTTGTTGCGCGTATGAAAAACCTGTTAACTGAGTTATGGTCAACAGCGCAACAATTGCTATACAAATCATTGTTTCAAATTTGTTAAAGTTTAAATTCAATACTAAATATTTTATTCTGTGATGAGATTCTGTAATCGTGTCTCTTATATACCCTATTAAGCTCTCTCTCTCTCTCTCTCTCTAATTAATTGTAATTATTATGAAATTTCATTTAAAAAGTGCCAGAATTTAATGAATTACTTAAATATGTTTTTTGTATTATAATATTTTTACATTTTTAAAGTTAAAAAAGGCTTTTATTTTTTAACCTATTATTAATAAATGCATTTCTATTGATTTATTAATTAACATGTTTGTAGTTTTAATTCTGGTTACCAGGCTGAATTTGAAAAATAAAATGATTTCTACTTATGAATATTATAAAACTTTTGTAATTTTCAATAAATTAATCATGTTACAATTCAATTAAGGTACATTTTATTCATACAAAGATTGCACAACAATATTGACAGTTGATATTCTCAATTAATAATACTGTTAATTAATTAGTAAGTTTTCACATTAATAATGTGACATTATACATGAATTGTATGCATGTTCAAATTATGTGCTGGGCATTAATAAATGCATATTTTACGTATATTGGTATATACATTATGTCCCAAAGTGTATAGCAATTATGAACAAGTACAGGCGCCTCTAAATGAGCACAAATGATAAATGTTATTAAACGATATATCAATCCTGAAATTGTCTATTTTAAATAATCTAGTTAATTTAATGTTAAATCTAATACGCAAATAGTGTACATAATAATATGTTATATAATTACATGCAATTAATAAATTACTTATTTATTTATACATTGTAATGCTAATCCAATTGCAATTGGCCTGTTTCGCAATTTCCAATCCTCAATCAGTCCAGTACTGGCCATACGGAACGCAAAACTATAATTAATAAATAATTGGCTCACATGTTATACTTATAACAATATTAGGAAATAATAAAAAATTAAAAAAATAAAAGTTACAACTAGTGTTTAATTATTTTTATTACAAATTTTAATTATACACCATAGTTACATATTTAATAAAATTAATAAAAAACAAAACAAAAAGTAAATAAATCATAAGAAACATCAATACAGTATTTGACAATATTAAGTTCAATATTGATCTATCAGCTCAATCAATGTTGGACCATGGTGCGGTTTTGTATAGTTATTATTATTATCGTTTTGAAAAGCGGATATCGTCGCAACGATATATTACTGTCCCATATGGAAGAGATTTATCGGGATTTCTTGGACCAGGAGTGAATTTGACACACGTTTGACTCGTGGGACACGTTTTACATATGGGATGCTCCTCACCTCCCGGTGCCCATGTGTTGCCGTAAACTTCGTCCGTAATCAGTTGACCAGTGGTCAGTCCGGTATCGGATTGTTTGTTTGCAAAGCGGATTAGACCGGCGTAGTCGCAACGATATCTTACTGTCCCTGCTGCCAATATCGTATTATTTGGACCAGCAGTGAATTTGACACACGTTATGTCCTTCTTACACTCTTTACACGTGGGTGCGTCCACTTCTCCCGGTTCGTATGCGTTGCCGTAGCCGTCCATAAACCCGCCCCTTAAGCAAATAAATTATAAGAAACATTAAATATTTTATCATATCATGTTCAAGATAATTTATCTATCAGCGCAATCAAAACTGTATCATGCTGACCATGCTGAGGGTTTGGTTTGTTTGTTTGCAAAACGGATTAGATTGGCGTCGTCGCAACGATATATTACTGTCCCATATGGAAGAGATTTGTCGGGATTTTTTGGACCAGGAGTGAATTTAACACACGTTTGACTCGTGGAACACGTTTTACATATGGGATGATCCTCTCCTCCCGGGCCCCATGTGCTGCCGTAAACGTTGTCCATAATCACTTGACCATGCACCAACGCCAACATTATAGCCAACTTGATCATGTTGTTGTGTGTGTGTCACCTCTGGATGCTTTGCAATGTAACTGAAAAACTGTGATTATAAGCCCCTATATGTTAATCACATATGGTGATTTAATTAGTATAAAATTTAATTATGTTTATGACATCATTTGTAAATTGATTATGTAACCTGATATGATAGTTAGTTGGTAATTGGTAATAAAAAGCAACAACACCAAAATTAATGTATTAAATATTTGCAACACTAATAATGGTTTGTGAACACCAACACCAATACTATAACTATTATTGCGTGAATTAACGCTAATATATTTAAATAAAACACAATTAGTAATTAAAATTTGTCATTAAATCAGCCGCTGGCTGTCGGGTCACTCATCACCAACACAGTGGCCGCACGTGTCGTATAGAATTAGTATTAGTGCCCAAAACAGGTTTAATTTATAGTTAATGAACAGAATATTCTTGAAAATACATTCAAAATAATTGCTTGAATGCATAAAAACGGCCACTTTATGCTAAAGCAAATAATATAAATAAATTACTCGTATTTTTTATATTCATTTCAATCCAAAAGCAGAAAACTTTATTTAAAATTATTTTGTGAAATAAAGCGCTGAATTGAACAGTCATTTGATATACATTTTCTACTAAATTACATATAAATAACAGAAAAAATTAATTAAAATTTGTATTGTATTCACAAAAAACTAATAGTATTTCTGTATAAATATCATACAAAGGGTGTATAACCACACACTTAGAGGTAACAAATATAACAACAAAAATGCATTACATTTTCATTACAAAAAAACTAAAATATATAATTAGTTTCTGTTTTGTTCGCCTGTTTTTTTGTCTGCAATTAAAATTAAATTACAATCAATTGATTTGAAACTAAAAAGCAATTTCAAAAACCCGTAATTAATTTGTAATTAATTTCTACGGAAAATACAAAAAACAACAAATCGTTGCCAAAAACAACACCACATTTAGAGACTCTGCGAAGACTTTCGGTGATTATCTGTGGTATTGTTGAAGAGTGCGGTCCGGAAGTACTTCTGAGCCGTCATATCCAGCGATTCTGCGATCGCTTTTCTGTACAACAAAAACAAAACACAAATAAATTAAAACAATTAAAACACATCAACAAAACAAGACATACCTAAACACGTTAGCGTTGAACAGTATGGCCGACACGTGGCCGCCGTCCACGTACTTGACCCGAGCGCCGGGCCATATGTCGGTCAAGGGTTGTACGCACTGTCGCGGCACATATCCGTCGTGAGTGGCGTTCACAATGAGCGCCAGTTCCGGGTCGACGGGCACCGAGAAGTTGGCCAAATGTGTGCACTCATCCATCACTCCACGCATAAAGTCCAACGTCCTGTTCATTGTGTCCACTTTGGCCTCAATACGGTTCCCGCCATTCGCACCCTTCCTGTTGGCCGCGGATTTCGATGAGAATATATTCCTGAAGTCGTACTCAAGAATTGAGTCCCAAATCGTGGGGAAAGTGCGGGCGAAATGACGGCCCGCGTCGAAGGCCGGGCCCTTATTGATCGACACCTGTATTCAAATCATTCATTCATTAGTTTATTAACAAACAAACAAAACATATGTTTTCAAATCAAAGTATTTAATTGTCTGATAAATGTTACCATTTCTGGCGAATGAATCAGTTTCTGTAATTCGCTGAGCAGTTCGTCTCCATAGGACTGGTATTCCTCCTCGAGTAGTGTCCACGGAATGCCGCCCACCATAACGCCTGCGCCCAGACATATAACACACACATTAGACAAAAATAATTAAATTAATTATGAATTAAAAACAATTAGCAAAAAACAAATAGTTATACAAACCCTGAGTGAAAGCGCAGGAGGCGGTGGTCCACGAGAGACAGGGGACTATACCGATGGGTTTGTGCCAATTAGTGCCGGCCAGGGATGCGTTCTGTACCGGTCAGACATTCAATAGGGAATAACAACACAATTAAAACCGGTGGTAAAACTCTAATTACGCGATCACTACATACGTGTCCGCCCATCGATATACCGGTGATACAGAGGGGCCCAAAGCCCATACGCTCGCACCAGTGCAGTAACGCCAACGACTCCAGTATTAGACACCCGCCCATTATGAAGATGTCCGACACGTTCTTCAGACTAGACCGGGTCTGGTCGGCCGGTTTGCGGCACCCGTCTGGACGACAGACAATGGATGGCCAACGCGTTAGTATTGATTACAAATGATTACAAAAAATACTCACAAAACGGATTCTCCAGAAGTATTGAAGCGATTCCGTACTCTTTAAGCAATGGTTTTGCCATTAGTGTACGTCTGCGCCAATAGTACTGCACACCCGACCAATGGAGTGGCCATAACCGACCATAGAGAGGGGTACCGGTAATTAAAAGCATATAAAATTCAATTCATTTTCATAAACCCTATTATCGGTAAAGACACAGAATATGTATATCTCATTATATAGAGAGACACAGAGGTCTGGTCTGTGAGCGCATACATGATCTCCAGTGCCGGCCAACTGAAGGCACACGGGTTTGAGCCGTTCGTGTGACCACTTCTTGGGCAGAATGAGCTGAAAGCGGGCGATTTGCGACTCTTTCGGCACCAATTCGGGCAAATACTGGACCATCGGTGACATGAAGTGACCCTCGAATACATCATATGTCGAGTTGTGGTCCGTTTGCCGGTCGATATATATGGGGTAATCGGCGGACACCAACTCACGACACGTCTGCCGATTGGATATGATTTTGCGAAACTTGAATATTCTGTGAGAGAATACAGTTTATAATTAATTAATTATTTTGATGTTAATTAAATATATTGTTACAAACATTAATCATCGTGATAATAACAAAAGTTATCATGATCGACAAAAAAAACTCGACCCCAATTAATATCTAGTTCACTATAACGAGTATCTCTGCGTTAAACATAAACAGATTATACAATTGTGTATAAAAATTAATGTAAAAATTAATCTCAAATCAATACTTTATGGTAAAAACACTATTAATTACTATAGCGAAGTGAAAAAGGTGTTGAACTTAATAGTGTCGCCTCAGATCATGTGCGATAATCGCTAAAAAATAACATATGGTAATAAAAATAGGCTGAAAAACGCTGGCAAACAAAAACAGGTGATTAAACTGAAGAGGAGTACTGCACCACAAGAACCTCCCTGTTATCTATTGTTTGATTATCTACAGTAAACTTACGATATTTATCGCACGATAATGTACTCTCGCTATAGTGAACAAACAAATGTACAAAGTTTAATTTGTTATGCACTCGAAAAATAGAAATATCATAACCTATAAATCTAACTTAATAAAATCAAATTCCAGTCCCTATAGTGTATACCAGTACGTCTCTCGTATAAAATAGTGTTGTATGTGGTGTATACTGTATATAAATTATAGTCAATCAAGCTATACACATTAGTCATATTATCTATGAATCACAATGCATTCAATAGCAATTACAGTACACTATTTATAATGACAAATTTTTAGATTTGCCCTCATGTTAAAATGCATTGCAATTTTGCATTGAATTACATTGCATTTGCCCTGGCTGAGACACCAAGGTGTATACCCCGGTTAGAATGTACAGAATATTCTTTATATTAGTGTAAATATTTTTATACCACGAGTGTTCACAAAACAGACAAAAAACTCAGACACAGACTATTGAAAACAAAAATTTTCAATAAAAACAAATAAAATTAAAAAGTTTTACAAAATTCAATACAAAACCAATGCATTCAAAACACGGGCTAAATATAGCACTAAATGTTATAAATAGATATTTGTTTTTCATGTCATATGAAAGGCATTTAAACCCAAACAATATTGTCATAGAGTGTACGCCCTGTAGAGACCCGAACCGACACACCCTTACCGGCCATACACTGACCGACAAAGACATACAGACAGTGACCACAACAACCGACCTCTTCATGAACTCCGGATGACCCCAGCCTTTGGTGAAGAACTTCGACAATAGTATTGACCGATATATTGAATCAAATTTACTGATTGTCGCCATTATTACTGATAATTATTGATATATTATTGTAATAATTATGGAAGTAATTAATTTTTTATCACGTTTACAATAAATAATAAAATAACCTGGACACAAAAATAATAATAAAAATACGATCGTATTGGACAACACGAGTTACATATGTATGTTAATCATCCGCACAATTAACGCATATATTCACTACCATATACAAAAATATAGTCAAAAAGTAACAAGCTAATTAATTATAATTAGCCGTATTGTTTGATGTAGTTAATAAAATACAAAAAATATTCCACCCAGCTCAATTATTATTCACATTTATTAGCACAAATAGGGTTAATAAACATGTGCTGATACACACGTATGACTACTGACTGATTGAATGGCTGTATATATAGTGTGGAGTTTTATAATCAGTTGTGTATTAAATACATGTTTATTATAATAGCGTTTGAAATGACTTTTAACTTATTATGCGTTTAATATAAACACATAATTAGTTTCAATGTTAAACACTCTCACAGTTTATGAGCCCTTGTTTTTTGTTGATAAACAATACAATACAATACGCTATGCAATCACTCCCTTCACAAACAACGATACGAATAATTGGTTTTTATTCACTATTATCGCACCCTTTATGAAAATAATACCTTGGTAAAGCATTAATCCCCTTTATCAACGTTAAGTAACAAATTGTAATTATGACCTTTATTAATTATGTTGGTAATTAGAATAATAATAACTTGGCAAATCAACATGATGATATGATTATTGTCAACGCAACTATTTAATACGTCTATACGTTGTATATGAATGGCGCCATTCATTGTTCACACGGCAACCAATCATCTGTTTATTTATTTTTAAATATTTTCCCCAATAATCCATAATAAGGCCACGGGTTGGGCACAAACCCCTCAATGGATGACCAGGGGGTACATGAATTACCCAGATGAATATAGGGTTAAAAGTGATCAAGATACTTAACTAGATCCAACTGGATCGATAATGAGTAATTATATTGTTCTAGGCACTTTTACAGCAAACATTATGGCATTGATAGGGGGTGTGGGGTTGTGTGGGGGCAACGCATAGCACCCCCGGCTGTCAACGCCAGAGACCACCCCTGGCTTTGGCTGTTGTTGTGATTACATAACCAGAGCTTACGATTAGTGCCATAAGTATTGTCACCAAAAATAGGTCTACAAAAAGAAAGCAATAAATCAATCAATCAATCAATGCATGAGATGTTGGGATCAAATGATTGCCACAAATAGTATTCACAACACATATAAGGAGTGAAAGACAACGACAACAACACAAAGAAGTGATTGACTCGCGAAGAATACAATGTCGTCGACACCACCGACTGGGACCACATCCGCGTCGGACACCAGTTATCAAGAGTTTGTGGACAATCGCGGTGTGGATGGCGTCGGCATTGTGTCCACCGAAGGCGAGAAACTGTTGAACGCGTTGAGAAAAATACAGACAAAACTATACCAACGAAGACCAACGGCTGGCCAATCGGTGGTCCGCGAAGTGATCGTCAATCGCCAGTCCAATGGCCACCACTCGATGGTCGCAGACAGTAGTGATCGACACGTGTGTCCGCACAGGACTTCGTGCGCCAATTGCTCGGCCATTGATTGCTGTAATCGATCAGCTGTTGGCAGCGGCGGCGGTGGTGATGATCACCACTACTTCAACGGTCACCACCGCTCGGATCTCGACACTCGGTTCGATGATAATCGGGGCGCGGATTTGATGGACACGCGGCTGCGGCTGATTGAGTCACAGCTGAAGACCATATCGTTGCAGTTGACGGCCAAAAATGGTGACACCAGTAATGGTAAGCGTGCGGTGAATGGCGATCACCGCCCGACCAATAGTGGTCGACCATCGCCTACGAGAAGTGGTCGCACAACTGGTGGCCGTCAATCGCCCGCCAAAAGGCCACAAGTATTGAGTGCCAGTATTGATGATAATCTCGACGGACACGGATCTGATGACAGATACGAGGCGTCTATAGACGCCGTGAGAGACTTGTTTAGACAAACGAATGGCACGACTGGCCGCCCGGTGCCGAAGAGTCGCTCGTTGGACGCCATTAACCCGAAGCCGTCGTCGGGCGGCGGCGGCCGTCACTTTCACCTACAGTTAAAAGACATACCATTCCTGTTGGGAACGGTATGTGCGGTGAATATCTTCGGGGCAAACGGTTCCCAATTGATAATCATTTTTTACCACTCATTTTCAGAGCGCAAACAGTCATTCAGTGATAGCCAACCGACAGTTGGAGATATCGCGCCTCAAACGGCACAACCCGTTGTGCCGACACAACGACCACAACATACCGGTGCGCAAGATATTTGACGAACGGATCCGACAGCAAGTGTTGGACACAGAGATCAAAGAGTTGTTGTTTGACTTACAGGAAGAGCACGACTATATTTGCGAGTAATATAATTGAGTGACAATTGTCTCATTCATTGTCTTTTAAATGGTAACCAATTGTTTCGCAGAGAAATACAATACTTAAGCCAACAATTGGATCAAATGAGTGGCGATGAGGGGGACGGCGACGACGAGCGTCGGGTGCGCTTCAATCGCGACCTGTATTTCCTTTCGCGCCGTATTTTAGCCAAAAAACGACAGATCAATGAATTACAGGAAATGCACTCAACGCTGACGAGGAATGCGCCCAAAACTAGCGGCGCTGTCAACGGCGCCACTACTGCCGCCACACCCGCTGCCAAAACAAGGACCGGCCAAACGTCCGGTCACTCAAAGCACGTGATGTTTGCCGATAATAATCGGGTAAACCATAAACACAAACAGAAAGCCGTTCAAAACGGTGGCGACGATTGGTGTCCGCAATGGAAATGAAAGCACTGTTTCTGTCTTTGCGTCTCTTTTTGTAAAACAAAATTTTTCTAATATAAAAGTGAATAAATAAGGGGAATAACTTTTATTCCCGTCGCGACGGGCAGCCCGTCGGCCCGTCGATAAAATTTAAATTTACATAACTTATTAATATTATATATAAATTCGATGTGGATTTTAACGGAGATTACAAATATCAAAACGATTTCTTTGTAGACATAATAGTTTTCGAACTATTCGACTTTGAAATTCTAAAATTTGAATAACTCGAAAAATATTCAAAATAGATTATTTTAAACTTCAAATTCAGATTAAGCGTTGAATTCTACATCATATTCATATATAATATTGATACATTATGCAAATTAAAAATTTTCGACGGATCGACTGTCGATCCGTCGAAAATTTTTAATTTGCATAATGTATCAATATTATATATGAATATGATGTAGAATTCAACGCTTAATCTGAATTTGAAGTTTAAAATAATCTATTTTGAATATTTTTCGAGTTATTCAAATTTTAGAATTTCAAAGTCGAATAGTTCGAAAACTATTATGTCTACAAAGAAATCGTTTTGATATTTGTAATCTCCGTTAAAATCCACATCGAATTCATATATAATATTAATAAGTTATGTAAATTTAAATTTTATCGACGGGCCGACGGGCTGCCCGTCGCGACGGGAATAAAAGTTATTCCCATAAATAAGTCTTTTTATACCTCTTTTTACCTCAATTTGTTGTTTTGATATTCATTTCTGTTAATCAGAGAGAGAGAGAGAGAGAGAGAGAGATTGCAAAAAATAATTAACACATGTTTTCTTATTAATCATATTTATTATTAAAAGTAAATCAAATTAAAAACAGTTTACAAAAATTCATAAAAATTAAATTAATTATAAATGGAGGGAATAATATGGAGGGGTTTTACATGGGTAGTGGGGAGGGGGGATGGGGTTGATTGACCATGATGATGTTAAACAAATAGGCACTCAATGGTCACATCCAATCGGGTGAAGACCTAAGCAATGAGAGACAATACAAATCATTAGAAAACACGTGTGAAATGGAGGGACAATGAAATGGACATCCATTTAATGGACAATCAGTTCGTTAACAGTAAAAATCATCAATAAATTATATGTAGGATCTATTGGAGGTTTAAAGTTAAATCATCATGTTGCATTTAATTGCAACTAAATTAAATCATCATCAAATTAAAGTCAATTTACCATTTTATAACTGTAATGCCATTATATCAGTGATGTTAACCCAAAACCTTACCCAACTTAACCAATGCTGGTTACAAATTACAATGTGCTAACACAGGCCCTACCAGAATGAACAGTGAATGCACAGCACATGTGACTAACCATAAAACCACCATGAGCTAATAAACATGCGCAAACCTGTGTAACCAACATCAATCAACACAAGCCATACATTTATTATGTAGAAAATTCTGGTAACATCTCGAAGAGTGTACACATTTCCAGACACAAGACAACTGATCCCTATATATAACATACAGTAAACTTCACTATAAGTTCATTATTTGATGAGAAAGTGGTAAAATAGGTGTACAGTAACCAAGTTACTTTTTGTTTGTATCATAAAATAACAACTTATTATAACAATGTCTGACGGATCCGGTCCTCCGCCACCGCATCGGCCGCCGCAAGACTTCCAGCAACTGTTGCGGCTGTGTATGGAAACCGTACCGCAAGACCCGGAGGCGGCGGCCGCACAACGGGCTGTCCATCCCTTAGACCCGGAACGCCGTCAGTGGCTGTCGGCGGCGCTCTCGTCGATGACCTCCGACTCCGTGCAAGAGATGACCGCCAACTTGGAAGCGATCGCCAACGGACTCAAAGAGACCACCGCTGACGGCCTGCTGTCGATGGAAACGGTGGACACGATTCGCGAAGCGGTGGACGCCCTCATCGACCGGACGTGTAGTTTGGATTCGGCGCAAGACTTTTGCAAAATCGGTGGTTTCGCTGTCTTCCCGGCGCTGTTGGCCTCCGTGTCCGACGAGCTGAAGACCGCCGGTTGCGAACTGTTGGCCGAAGTGGTCCAGAATGAGCCCACGTGTCAACAGCAGGCGCTCGACAGTGACATTCTGGATGTGTTGGTGAAACTCTTGGACGACCAGAGCTGCGCCAATCAGGTGCGGGTGAAGAGTCTGTACGCCATATCGTGTATCATACGGAGCAACGATCAGGCGCTGGACGTGTTTGACAAACGCCTGGACGGCCTGTCGGTGTTGATCAACGCCGTGGCCAACGCTCCCGCAGACGGCGGTGACAACAAACTCCGTGTGAAGGCCTCGTTTCTCATGAGCGCCCTCTGCCAGAAGCCCGCGGTGTGCGCCTCCCTCTACGCGCTCGGCCTCTTGGATCAGCTCATTGGCGGCCTTCACGGCCCCCACGACGCCACTCACGAGTACCTGTTGGCCACGTTGTACGCGCTCGTGTCCGCCCATCACCCGTCGCGCGACGAGTGCCGCCGAACCGATCGCCAAATGAAGAACTTTCTGAAACAACGGATCCAAGAGTTGACGGGCACTGAAGAGTTCATCGAAGAGCTCGACTACTGTCGCCGTCTGTTTGATATACTGTTCGTCGACAATGACTTACCCGATAGCGAACGCTGAAGCCGTGTGCGGGTGTGATAATCGCTGCCATCACTTCCATCGATGACATTATCTCTCATTATCTGTCATGTATTGTCTGTATTTATATGTAAATCACGTTTAAATACATATTAATAACGCATTTCGCAACACATTTTGTACATAACATTCAAAACTCATTATCTCTCATAGCTTTTAGGGGTTTGGGATAAAAAATTACAAAAATTATATAATTTAAACCGTAATTAAAAATATGATTGATTTTCGTATAAAATTGTGTTTAAAATTCATTTCAATGATAATTAAATCAATTGATTTTTGAGTACAAAATTGAATTGAGTGTCAAAAACGAGGTGTGATTTATTGGATTAAACCGATTTGAACGACAACTTATGACAGATGGTCTGCTGGAGTGGCAAATGGTTGGCCAGTTGTACGGGATCTATGAGTACGGGCGCCGGTATGTGCAGGTCCTTCACGAACGCCTCCCGATTCGTATACTCGCGTAATATAAAGTCTGTGCCAACCTTTAGGGCCGACAAAAATCAGGTGTAAATCACATTAAAAACTAATCTCGAGAGACAATTGATTAGTAGGGACGGGGAGTGGGAACGGCTGGTGTGGACACTGACCTCGTGGTACAGTCGGGTGTCATTCATGCGGACCAATACGTTGTCGATGCGGAGGAAGAATCGCATTAATATGAAAAATGATTGTTTCATCACTCGCTGTACAAAACAAAGACACAATAAATTGTAGTTATAGTGAGACACAGGTGGCGGCCACTCGATGGGCCGAGCGCTGGTATTAATGCTTACAATTTTGACCGAACACTTGGCCACTCCGTGATCGGCCAACTCGTCCTCAAACAGGTCCACGTCGTCGTAGAAGAGTATATCGTCCTTACGCTTCAGACGCTCGATGTTTATGCGCTCATCAGTCGGCGCGAACTCCACGCCCGCCGAGCCATCGGTGGCCACATCAGTGCCGTCGGCGACGCTCACCGCTGAGCCCTTGTAGTCGGTGGTGAACGTCCAGTCAAATGGTTTGGCCGTAAAGCGTGTGTATTGGCTGTCGGCCCGCGATTTCATCCAATCGTCGGCGGCGTCCACTTTCAGATGTCGGGGCAACTCTTTGGACACCACTCGCAGCGCATCCAAGCAATTGAAACGCAACGAAAAGCCCGTCTTGTGGTCAACAATAAGCCAATTGTTGGCGTAAGTCATGTCCGGCATGTGTGGCATCGATAGCAGATACTCATACCTATGTTGGGTAACCATTGGATCAATTAAGACACAGATAAACAAAAACAAAGTGTTTGCAGACATACCGGCAACACATGCAAACTCTGTCCAAATCGACCGCCGCTTCCGATGACAAGCCATTGACAGTGTCTTTGGTTTTGTCGCAAATGAAAGGCGACACACATTTCGACTGCAATATATGGGACNAATTACAAAAATTATATAATTTAAACCGTAATTAAAAATATGATTGATTTTCGTATAAAATTGTGTTTAAAATTCATTTCAATGATAATTAAATCAATTGATTTTGAGTACAAAATTGAATTGAGTGTCAAAAACGAGGTGTGATTTATTGGATTAAACCGATTTGAACGACAACTTATGACAGATGGTCTGCTGGAGTGGCAAATGGTTGGCCAGTTGTACGGGATCTATGAGTACGGGCGCCGGTATGTGCAGGTCCTTCACGAACGCCTCCCGATTCGTATACTCGCGTAATATAAAGTCTGTGCCAACCTTTAGGGCCGACAAAAAATCAAGTGTAAATAACATTTAAAACTAATCTCGAGAGACAATTGATGGCCAGACACTGACCTCGTGGTACAGTCGGGTGTCATTCATGCGGACCAATACGTTGTCGATGCGGAGGAAGAATCGCATTAAAATGAAAAATGATTGTTTCATCACTCGCTGTACGAAACAAAGACATAATAAATGTAGTTATAGTAAGACACGGGTGGCCACCGATAGCCGAGCGCTGGTATTAATGCTTACAATTTTGACCGAACACTTGGCCACTCCGTGATCGGCCAACTCGTCCTCAAACAGGTCCACGTCGTCGTAGTAGAGTATCTCGTCCTTACGCTTCAGACGCTCGATGTCTATGCGCTGGTCAGTGGGCGCGAACTCAACACCCGCCGAGCCATCGATGGCCACATGTGTGCCGTCATCGGCGACAGAGACCACAGAGCCCTTGTAGTCGGTGGTGAACGTCCAGTCAAATGGTTTGGCCGTAAAGCGCGTGTATTGGCTGTCGGCCCGCGATTTCATCCAATCGTTGGCGGCGTCCACTTTCAGATGTCGGGGCAACTCTTTGGACACCACTCGCAGCGCATCCAAGCAATTGAAACGCAACGAAAAGCCCGTCTTGTGGTCAACGATCAGCCAATTGTTGGCGTAAGTCATGTCCGGCATGTGTGGCATCGATAGCAGATACTCATACCTAATGGTAACCATTGGATCAATTAAGACATTAACAAAGAAGTCTTTTGCACACATACCGGCAACACATGCAAACTCTGTCCAAATCGACCGCCGCTTCCGATGACAAGCCATTGACAGTGTCTTTGGTTTTGTCGCAAATGAAAGGCGACACACATTTCGACTGCAATATATGGGACT